GTCCATTTCTTTTTCTGCTACAGGCCTTCCAGGAGCTGTAGGGCCAGCAGGGATGCCTGGACGAACTGGCCCAGTTGGGCCCAAAGGGGACAATGGCTCTGATGGGGAGCCTGGACCGAAGGGTGATCCTGGACCAAGTGGTGAGCAATTGGACATGGAATTCAGATGTGTCCAAGTGGTGTCTGTGCCAGTAGACTATGCTGGTAGCCATGTGCTAGGCCCATCCCAGAAAGAAGGAAGACAGATGTTCTGAAAGCAGCACTGGGTTACCTCAGGACTGACTGGGCCTGCTGTGGATGCCTCTTTGACTTCACTATTACTCTCACTCCAGGCATCCCCTCTGTCAAGAGGGCTCAGTGTCACTGACTAAGTTCATCTTTTTCCCCAGGACCCACAGGACTCCCGGGTGTGCCTGGTCCAGTGGGAAAAGACGGTCCCCCTGGAAAGCAGGGGGACATAGGTCCTCAAGGCAAGCCAGGCCCCAAAGGAGAGACTGGACCCAAAGGTAGGTGGATGGGTAGTGGCTAGGAAAGAGGAGGAAGGAATGACAGCTTGATCTGTGGTGGATGAGGGATGCTCAGAAGGCCAGGAGGAGGCCAGGCCATCAGGACCAGGAAGGCTTTTCCATGTGCTCCTTCCCATAACCCTGACATTAGTGCTGACTTATTCCTACCAGCTGAAGAGGAATCCAAGCAGTAAGGAGCTTGGCCAGGTGCCCTCTCTGACCTTACTGTGGGTCAAAAGCTCTACTACAGGGGAGATGACACTTGCTGAGAACACTTGTGGTGGCATTTGTCCCTGTGTGTTTCTTCCTCAGGTGAAGTAGGTGCCCCAGGTATACAGGGCTCCACAGGAGCAAGAGGCCCCACAGGCCCTAAAGGGGAGAAAGGTGCCCCTGGTGAACCTGGAGCCCCCGGAAGGGCAGGGGCAGCAGGTGAGTGATGGCGGTCCTGGGGCTGGATCCCGTTAGCTGGGCACACTTGGATCCCTCCTCCCCACCACATGAGGCCAGAACTGGCATTGCCAGCTCACTAGGCCCAGGCACATTTCTTGTCACTTGTACGCAGTACCAATACACACAACTCTAATGGAGAAAGGTTTATTTGGGCTTACAGTTTGTAGAGGTTTCAGTTGATGGTTGGCTGGCTCCAAGCCAGGGTGGTATGACAGAGGGTCATGGTAGGGGGAAAGGCGCTATGGCACAGCAGCCAGAAGACAAGGAGTGAAGGAAGGAGCCAGCAAGGGAGAGGAACCCTTCTGGGCCACGCCCTCCATGATCCCCCTCATCTAACCAGGCCCCACATCCTAACAGCCTGACGGCTGGGAGCCCCATAATCCAATCACTTCCTGAAGCCTCAAACTGAGCGAGTGGGCCTCTTGGGGGATTCAAGATATAAATCCTGAATATGCATCCAAAGCAGATGCAGCTCTGGGCTCTGGAAATCAACTGTTGGGAGAGGGCAGTGCTAGTCTGTGTCCTGGGAAGTCAGTTGCCAGTGACAGGGACAGCTGTGCACAGAGGAGGTAGACTGCTGTGTTCTGGGCAGTGTGTATCAGGGAGGATGGACGGCCAAATACTGAGGATGGGGCATGCCCAGAGGAGAAAACCCTGCAAAGTGGTTGCCCTGCTCACCCTGTTCTTCTTCGGTCCCAGGGTCGGCTGGAGCTGTGGGTCCACCGGGACCTGTGGGTGCCAGGGGACCCCCAGGACTGAAGGGTGACAGAGGTACTCCTGGAGCCAAGGGTGAAAGTGGGCTTTCAGGTGAGGCGGTCGCTCCTGGCTCTGGGTACCACACTTGGGAAAGGCTTGGGGAGAGGGACCCTCTTCAGCTCAACACTGTCTACCTGTGGGTCAGAAGCTGATGAAAGGCTCAGGGCTGCAGGGCGGAATCAGGCTTTGGCCTCAGCTATCACTGCAGGTGAGAAGGCAAATCCAGGCAGTTTCTTCAACTGAACTGAAAACGTAGCAGCCACCCTCCCAGCTAGAAGGACAGCATTGAGCACCCAGTGAGCCAAAGGTTGGAAAAGACATGAGGAGTGTATATTCCTACTCCACACATTCAAGAGGGGAGATGCCACTATTATATTCCCAGAATTCAGAGTGACAATGACATCTATGTTGTCAGAGAGGCTCAGGGCCCAGTCTGTTCATAGCAGAAGCCTAAGAAATTCATGCATATAGAGGTCCCCCGGGTTAGTAGATGTGACCTAGCTGGGGGTCAGCCCAGATCCCCAACCCACCTCAACTCTCCACCAGAAACCATTCACCATTCCGCAAGGCCCAGACTCTGGGGTGTTCCTGGGCTGTGCTGCACACACCTTCACCCTGCGCTTCTCTCCCTGCAGACATCACTGTTCTGAAGCAGCAGTTGGCAGCCTTCCAGGACCAGTTAGAGAACCTCAAGGCTACCTTGTCTCGCTACAAAAATGGTGAGCTCCTGAACCCAAGGCTCTGCTGCACACAGGGATGCTATGGCTAAGTGGTCTGGACACTGGGGTGGGGGTGAGCTGGGGTGAGAGCTTTGGCTGAGCCTGACGGGAACCTTGCCCAGGGTCTTGGAAGGGAGTAAATGGGGATACACCTGGAACTGCACTTGAAACTCGAGCTGGGAGTAGGGATGAAGCAGAGGCTGTGTTGGAGCAGGGACGCCTCTTAAAGTTGATCTGGTATTAGTAAGTGGAGGTGCCCTGTGAGCAGCTCAGGCTGGCAGAAATACTGTCAATGGTGTCACATTTCTGAGCACTCTCCAGCCTCATCACTCATGCCCTGAAGCAGTCTGCAGCCCTTCCCTCTTGCCTGGACTGTGCTGGTGTCTGTGTGTGACAAGAGGACAACCAGGAATGCCATGCATTGCAAGACTAGGGGCCAGGTGTTGGGGGCCAGAGATGGCACTGCAGCCCAAGGAAGCACTGAAGTCAAGTGCTGCTTTAGGGGACAAGGTGGGTGGGCCTGGCCTTGGTCTGTGGCCAGTGAGCATCTCAATTCCAGGTTCCAGGTGCTTCGGAGCCAAGTGGGGACCTTGCTGCCCCTGGGCTCCAGCTGAGCTGGCCCTGCTGCAGCTGTGAGGCACAAGGAGCAGAGCTCTTGCCCTCACTGTGCAATCCTGTGTATCCCAGGCATGCAGAGCGACAGTCCTTGGCTCTCTGTGACTTTTGGAATCCACCTCAGTTCCCAGCTGCCCCTCCTTCTCTTCTGACCTTCTCAACATCGGTTTTGACTCGATGTCTTTCTCAACCAGAAAAATAAGTTTTCTGGCTAAGTACAGCACAAAGGTAATCATTTGAGTAGGACATGGGTTTTGTTTCTAGGTATCGAAACTCAGGTTAGTTCAGTTCTTTGGCATTTCTCCCTTGCTCCACAAATATATTCATAGATGCACTTTTTGCATGGGTACACTGATGCAAGTACATAAACATACATGTGTACACCTGCTGCACATGCGTGCACTTAAATATGATCAGTCATTCCACATCCATCTACATCCATGGGCTCACATGTCCACGGGGACATTAACCACTTTGTGCTGTGTTCTATCCCTGGGATGCTAAGCATGTGAGTTATTTATATCCTACTGCTCAAGGTCATTGCTAAGGGTAGATTCTGCAAATTCAAAAAAGTGCAGCCTCCATCAGAAGGACTGCCACGTACCTTTGGATGACTGCACAGACACATTTGTGTGGCTTATGTGTACCTACATGAGGACTGGAGCATAAATCCAGTGAAGATGCACAAATCTTACACTGACCTCACTCAGGGCTCTCTGGGTTTTGGTCTGAGCCCACAGAGAACCTTCTCCCAAGTCTCTATTAAAGATGCTCAGAAACAGACAGTGAATTGGCATGCAGCCTGCACCCTGCCAGCCCAAGTCAAGGAGCACAGCCCTCTCTGAAGCCTCGATAGCTGAGTGCCCTATGCAGACTTCCACGTGTAACCCAGAACCACGGGGAGGGGGACCGAATGGCTGAAGTGGTGCTTGGCATGTTGTGCTGGTGATGCTTCTGTGAGGTGCTCCCTCACTTTAGAGGGACAAAGAAGTGGAAACTCTGAAAGGAAAGTGACTTTGCAGTGTCCACCTGGACATAACCAGGGTGGGTCTTAATGCTTGGGCTTTGATTTCATTTAGGACTCTCCAGCTGGCTATACACAAAGATGCTCCTCTCAGACACCCTCATTCCAAACCTCAGCACCTCCAGGGCAGTCTGAATGGCAGGAGCACACACAGACACACACACACACACACACACACACACACACACACACCCCAAGAGGCTGACCTGGACTAGACCTAAGCAGAAACTGACACCTAGCAACCTCTGGTATCTTTCATGTCCTCTCCCCATCACACAGCACAGTTCAACAAGAGTGACAAACGGGTCCCTGCACCATGGTTTTTGGTATTCTCAGAAATGGGTGTAGGCCTGTAATCATTTCCCTGGGAAAAGCTGCTCAACTCTACATAGTAACTAAAAAGCTCAATTCCAGCATACAATGTGGGCTGATAGGAAAAGAGAAACTGAGTGTTGGGATGAGGCTAACTTTCTTTAACTGTGCGTTTGAGGGTGCATGGATTTGGGCCTCTTACTTGACTTCTCTACCCTCTCTTTGTCTCCCCTGTGGACAGGGGACATGTCCCCCTCTCCCAGGGCTGCTCTGGATCTACATCTTGTTCACATCCTTTGCGGTGTCCTGACATCCTGGAGCAGAAGGCTAGGGTCACTGCATAGAGAACCCAGACTCCTGAGTTCTGACC